TCAAGCACCTACTGTGTGCCAGCGCTATGCCAGGCACTGGGAAACCGAGGGAGCAAAACAGACGCGCAGTCTCTGTGTTCCCAGACCTTCGCAGGGAAGGCAGGCCCAGTAAACAACCAGCAACAAATAATTACAAATTGGGCTAAGTGCCGTGGAGACAGGAAAGTGTAATTAGCCCATGCTTACCTCTCCCTGTCCTCATTACCAAACACCCGCACCTGCCGGACCTCTCTGGCACCCTGCTCGGCCAAGGGCCTTGGTTCACTGAGTACCTGGCACAGCGAGGGAGTTGACAACAGTTTTAGGAACATTCGATGTCCCTAGAAAAAAATAATTTAATTAAAAAAAATAGCCATCATCCACGTGGCTTGTACAACCTAATTTTACAATCCACTGAGGCCCAGAGAGGCCAAGCATTTGGCCCCAACCCACATAGCTGGTAAGTGGCGGAGCCCAGGTCAGAAACCAGGCCTCATGTCCCCAGGTCCAGAGCTCTGCCACCACCCCGAGGCTGCCCCCTAGTCTATCCTGAACCACTGCACAGCCCCAGGGGTCTGCAGCCTCCTGGCCTCATTCAGATGCCTTCTTTACAGATCAGCGCTGTCCAATAGAATTGCATGCGATGATGGAAATGGTCCATATTTGCACCAACCAACGCGGACACAGGGCAGCACTCAGCAGGTTCAGGGAAACGGGTCCAGTTTAGTCAGCGGTGGGTGGGGGTGGCAGGGGCTGTGGAAAGAAAGAGGGTATGGCAGAGATGAGACACAGAAGAAGGGCAGTAGGTGCCCTTGTTTGATGTCCCAAAGCACCTTCTGGACTTTATCCCATAATCCACAGGGAGCCACTGAAGGACTTTATGCAAAGTAATAAAATGCCTTGATTGCTGCCTACCTGGGCCCCCAAGGTGCTCACTGCTCCTCTGAGCTCTGAAGCATCTCCGACACTCCAGTAATACTGGCTCTTGTCCTTCTCACCGTCCCACACAAGTAGTCTCTCACCCCACAGCTCTGGTTACTATCGTAGCCTGAACACTCTCCTCGCCCCTCCTGGACAGCTCTTCCTCTTCCTTCAAGCCCTTGCTCGCTGTCCCCTCAGGGAAGGCATCCCAGACGCCCTCGGTGGGTCAGCGCCCCTCCTGTGACTCGGAGACTGCCTGGCACATGGAGGGGCTTCACAGGCCTGTTCTAGTTTCTCTATCCTTGCTGTTAGTTCCCTCTCTCTTGGCCCCTGCCCTCTGCAAATCTGTGCTCAGCTCTCCCCAAACCCCAACTCTGGGACCCTCAGAAATTCTTTTCCCACAGCCGCAGGTTGCTCAAAGGCCCTCGGCCCTGTGCCGAGACCAGCCCATTCCAAGGACGTGGCCCCGTGCAGGGCCTCCCTCCTGCGGCCTCACAGGCCTGCTCAAAGGGCCGGTCCAGAGAAAAGAAGTGGGAGTTTCCAGCCTCATCAGGGAGAGGGCCCTGACCCAGTGAGCATAGATGTGGACGTGCATTTAGGAGAGAGGAGGAGAGAGAGATAGGAACCTAAGTGGGCTCATCTAGGAAGACTTCCTGGAGGAGTGGGCCACCTTCACATCAAGCCCTGGAGTGAGGCTAAGATTCTCCCTGGCCCAGAGCATCCCAGCCTGCCTCCCCAAGGGCCATGTCCCAACCCAGAGCACCAGCGGGCCTGAGATGTGCTCACTGGAACATTCATCCAGCAACTATGCATTGCTACCCTGCGTTGTCCCAGGCCTGCCGCCTCCACGGGCCCAGCCTGGAGGCCAAACAGGGAGAGGGCACAGAGGAGACACTGAAACTGTGACACAGGGATGCCATTCCCATAAGGCCATCCAGCTGGGCTGCAGGGACCAACCAGACACCTCTCCTCCCAGGGCTGAGAGAGTCCAGGGCCAGGACGCTGAGTGGGCAGGAGACCAAGAGGGATGGGTAGGCAGAGAGGAAGAGCGAAGAGGGGGATGAGAATGAGAGGGAGACAGAGCAGAGGCTGGGAGGGACTGATGTGGAGAGAGAAGTGGAAGGAGGAAGCAAAGGAAAGGAGCAAAGTCCCCTTTGTTTCTTTGAGGACCAACTTCCAGTGCCTCTGGACAGCCCAGCCCCAGCCTCCCCCACCCCGTAGCTCTGGCCAGCCCTCTGTCTTTTCTCTGCCTCCTGGGTGATCAGGATTGCATCCTGTCTCCAGCTAAAGGGGACCAGGGGCAAAGGGGCCCCTGTCCCTGGACCATGTAAGGACCGCCCAGGACAGGCCTCCAGAATCTGTGAGGGGCACAAAACACCCACGCTCGTGCCCCACCAGAAGCCCTCAGCAGGTTTGTTTGTGAGTATGTCCAGGAGGGGCTCGGAGACTGCCCAGGGACCCAAGCATCCCCAGAGAGATGGGAAATCTCACCCACCTTCCATCTCCCCTCCCCCAACCCCTGCCAGGCGCCCCCTGTTCCCTAGGGGCCTGAACCCCAGATGGTTCGGGCTCCGTACCAAAGCCAGGGAGGGTCACATCAGGTCCTCAGCCAGGTGGAGAGGCAGAGGCCTGTCCAGTTCCCCCAAAGATGCCAATGCAGGGGTGAAGGGAGCCATGGGTGGAGCTAGGAGCGGAGGTGGGGGTAGGGCTGGGTGGTTCCGTGGAGCTGTGTCTGTTTGGGGCTTTTTTGCCGCTCTTCCTGTTTGGCAGCCCGAGCTGTGACAGCCAAGGACACTTCTATGATTGCACCCAAGGGAGACGGCCTGGCAGAGAGGAGACAGCACGCGGGCCCACGTCCCACCTGCGGCCAAAGCCCCAGGTGAGCGTGCCCTCCATGCCTCCAAGAGGCCAGGCCACCCCCAAGGAAGGCCGCCCAGTGCTCAGGCCCCAGAGACGGCCCTGCAGTGCCAGCCTCGAAGCCAGGGACTTGCACTTAACTGTGACAGGTCAAAACTCAGGGGCTGACAGAGGTCAGCGGAAGTCAGCAAGAAACAGCAGCCTGCAGGGATCAGGGGCACTTCTGAGACGGGGGAGGGAGCCCGGGACAGTAGGAAGACAGCTTCCTCTTCTCTCCCACTGCTCCTTCCAGGGTCACCAGGCTTAGAGAATCAGCAAGGAAGAAGGGCTCATAACCAAGGGTCTGGGTTCAAGTCCATCACTGACAAATTCATGACCTTAGACAGGCACTTACCCCAAAGAACCTCAGGTTCCTCCTCTGTGATAGGAGCTGGTGAGAATAGGGGCTTGATGAGGACCAAGGGGACAAATCCATGCAGAGCATTTGGGACATACCTGACTTCTCGGCTGGTATTCTGGCACCACAGAGCCCACACACCATTGCCCACCCTCCCTCTCCCCACAGAGCCCACAGGGGTGGCCACATGGAGGAGGGGAGGGGGCTGAGTCTGACCACAAGCCGTTCAGATAGCAGGTCCAGGAGGCCGGGGTGGGCCACACAAGTGGGTACCGAATGGGAAAAGGAGCAGCACGTGTCAGAACTGGGGACACAGACACCGTCGCAGAAACCCAGTCACCTAGAAGTACCCCGCCAGCCTACCCCTAGCATCAGAGCCTGGGACCCAGTCTCAGGATAGATTCGTGGCCTCAGCACCGATTCCTGTGCCCTAGTGGCCAGAAATGCCCACGGTGTGGGAGGGAGGTCTGGCCTGCGTGGCAGGAGGCCAGGAATCGGCAGTGTGACCTGGGCAGTGGCTCCTGTCCCCAGCCTGTCTCGTCCTCCAGTCACAGAGGGGACTGAGATCTCTTCCATCCCTGACCACGTGAGTCTCTTCTCTCTCTGCTGTGGTCCCACCACCCAGGTTGGCGTGCTGGGTCCAGGGAGGACACACACAGCCACCCAGCCAGAGCAAGAACAGCCAGGGATATCAGGCCAGGGAGGAAGGAAGAGCAGGCCCAGGAGAGCTGGGCACTCCCTGGAAGCGGACCAGCGGGGCCTCCAGAACCGCAGAAGGCGAGAGGGAGCGCTCTGGGCTGACCAAGCCTCCCGCTACCCCATCAGAGGCTGTGTGGGAGCAAAATATATCTATTTATACTCCATATTTAAGATGAAGCAGGGGAAGGAGAAGGAGAGGAGAGGAAGGGAGGACGAGAGGAGCGAGAGGGAGAGAGGCAGGGGCACATTCTCAGAGCCCAGAGGCAGAGCTGCAGTCGCTCCCCGATGGACTCAGCTCCCAGAAGGAAGGCCCCGGGTCTTAGGCGCCATTCCCTCAGGCCTTTGTGCCCAGCCCTCTGCTTGGTTGTCTGCTAACTTCCTGCGGGGTCGGTATCTTCATCCCCATTTTACACACGAGCACAGAGTCAAGGAGCCTGCCCGAGGCCACACCATGGTGAGCAGCCCACTGAGTCTTGAACCCCAGTCTCACTCATGCAAAGCCAAGGACCCTTGGTCTTGAGCACCTGCGTCCTCTCCAGCCTCTGATGCACAGGAGGTGCTCAATAAAAGACAGATCAAAGGAAGGAAGGGGGGACAGAAGGAGGAAGGAAGGAAGACGATAAGATTAAAGAAGATAAAGGAAGGAAGAGGAGAAGATAAGCAGGGGAGACCCGTGGGCAACTGAAAAATAAATAACAAAGGTGCTGTTTTCCAGTGTCGGGCTGGCACTGTGCCCAGGTCAGCTGCCCGACACACTCAGGGAGCTTGCCTCATCTTTTCCAGAAGTATGTGAGCCCAGATACGTCAGCCTTCAGGTATGCAGTGAGCTCTGCGGTCAGAGCAGCTCTCTCTCCTCTCTCCTTCCTTGTCAGATCTGCCCTTCCTCTTGCTGCCTCCCACCCCCCACCTGGCCAGCCACCCCAGCCTTGCCCCCTGCCCTGGAGCCAGGCCCGGCTCAGGTGGGGGCCTGCGAACAACCCCCTCTGCGGGGCAGATCCCGTCCCTGGGAGGAGATGGGAGCGTGGGGCCGGAGGAGGGGCGGGAACGCCACATCATCTAACAGGTTGGTCGGGCTGGGAGGCGTCCCGCCCTCCTGGAGGTAATGAGCACTGTACAACAGGTGTTTGCTCCTCAGTCCCCAGCCTGTCCTGCCTGCGACCGGAGCCAGCCGCCGCCACACTTCAAAGACTCGCTCATTCATCCCTGTGCCCTCCCTGCTCCCGGGCCCGGGGGCCATGATGGCCTGCCGCTCCTGCGTTGTTGGCTTCAGCAGCCCTAGCAGCTGTGAGGTGACATCGGCAGGTGGCCCCTGGCCTGAGACCTCAGCATGGGGCAGCTGCAGGGCCCCCGGGCCAGGCTTCAGCTCCCGCAGCCTCACAGGCTGTTGGCCAGCTGGCACCATCCCCAAGGTGACCATCAATCCCAGCCTGCTGGTACCCCTGGACCTGAAGGTGGACCCAGCCATCCAGCAGCAGAAGAACCAGGAGAAGGAAGAGATGAAGATCCTCAATGATAAATTTGCCTCCCTGATCAGCAAGGTGAGCAGAAGTGGGAGGGGAGTCCTGAAAACTAAGGACCATCAGGCCTGGGCAGGTGGCTGAATTCTGTATTTCCCCCGAGCATCATGCCCCACCCCTGCCTCCAGCCAATGGGGAGCTGGCATTGCTGACTCGCAGGCCAGTTGTTGGTAGAGAGATGGGGAGGGAAGTCCCTGAGCCATCCTGGCATGGGGGAAGAAAGAGACCCCAGGATGGCCTCTGAGGGATGTCTGGATAATAATGTGTGAGGTCGGGGGTCCCCCTCCCCGCAGGCATGGACTAGGGAGGAGCTCTGAGTGTGGCCAAGAGGATGCCCCCCATAGGAATGGATGGTGCAGGTGTGGTCTGTAGTCCTACTCTGAGGCAGATGGACAGTGGAGATGACCTCGCAAGGGTCCACCCTCCTGTCCAGGCCTCTGGCCCTGTCCAGCTTCCTGGGATCAGAGGCACTGGCAGAGCCAAGGGGGCCTGTGGGGCCCCCAAAAGAAGGCTGCAGAGTGGGCACGCAGCTGTGGCAGTTCAGCAGATAGGAATGCGGGGGACGGAGGCTGCGAGTCAGAAACAGGCAGCCAGCCAGGCCTGCCCACACCCACCTGAGCGCAAGGAGTGAGTCCCGGGCACGCAGCATTCCTAGACCCCACTGCCACAGCCAGCATGCTGATGTGGCACCGGCGTCCATCTCTGCCCCTGGGCACAGGCTTCAAGAGCTCTGAGGAAGTCCTGTCCACCTCCCAAACCTGCTCCTCCTCACCTCCTCCAAGAAACTCTCCTGCCCAGCCCTCCCAGCCCTGCTCCCTCCTGCCCTGCCCGAGAGGAACAGGCATGACAGTAACAGCTGCTGCTACTTATTGCTTACTCTGCACCAGGCACTGTGCTGGACGCTTTACATGTTTATCTCTATTTCCCTAAGCAACTTTACGAAAGAAGTCATTTTTATGCCCATTTTACAGATAGGAAAAACTCAGCCCTCTTGCCCCCCCGTAAACCAGAACCCCTACCTCCCAGTCTGCACCTTGCACTCCCTGCTTCTGTGTTCCTCTGCACGTTGCTAGTGCCCCCTGTGAGGCAGGCACTGGCAGAGAGGGGCAGAGGGAAGGAAGTGACACGTCCTGAGCATCCGCCTGCGCCTGGCTCTCTGTGGGAACTTCATAAGACATTTGGCCCACGCAGCAACGCTCCGCGGTGGCGGTTCCCCCGCTCTGCAGAGAAGGAGCGTCCCAGAGGTTGTGTCTTGCCCAAGGTCACACGACCAGAAAGTGTATGGTGGTGGGATTTGAACCCAGGTCTGTGAGACACAAAGCCAATGGTCTCTGGGAGTCATTTCTCCCCCCACCCCACCCACATGGCAAGACTGCCATCCTGCACCCACACCTGCGGGGCCCAGGGTCGGGGGTGTGGAGGAGAAGTGACTGCTGGAGGATAACCATGCACTGAGGTGGGGCATCCCCACTCCCAGCCCCAGCCGGCTGCACAGAGGCCCTACGCTGGGCGGTGTGCCCTAAAGAACAGCCCGCTGCCCTGGGGAGGCAGGTCCCTGCAGAGCGCCACCTCTCCAAGCCCGGTTTAATCCCTTAAAAGGAATGCTTCGTGAGCTGTGTCATTTGGCTCAGATGGGTGGCTCTTCTCCCTGAACGCCAGGGCTGATATCACCCTGTGCTTCCGCCATGGGGACAGGAGGGTGTGTAGGCACAGGGAGGGGGCCCAAGGGCTCGGGGTCTTGTGCCCAGGGGCCAGGGCAATGCCCTCTATGGTCTTTAGCAGAACTGGAGCTCCCAACTCTCAAGCCTTGGCCTTGAGACGGTGGTCTTCAAGGTGGGACCCAGGGTGCCAGCCCTTGGGGGCCCTGGTCGCTAGGGCTCTGCCTGAGGAGCCCCAGCTGGTCCACCGACTCTACGCAGAATGTCTGTTAGCTCACGGCCCTCCATGTAAAGGCCGCAAGGACCCCAGTGGACGCAGGCAGCGGTTAAGAGTGTGAAACCTGGAGCCGAATTACTGGGTTTGAATCCTGGATCTGCCTCCGACTGGCTGTGTCATCTCAGGCAAATTATTTAACCTCTCTGTGCCTCAGTACATATAAGTGTAATGGGTTTGTCAGAATCCAACAGGGTAATTTTTGAAAAGGACTTATCGTGTACCATGTGTGTTCTGTTAAACAACAAACACCATACATGGGCCCGGCCCAGGGAGCTCTGGAACCTAGTTAGCCCCTTCCAGGCAGGAGCCTCAGAAGAGGGAGGGAGGGGCCCTGCTGAAGGAGATGGGGAGGAGCTTCGTGGACAGGGATGCAGCACCGGGCTGGAAAGAGACGTATGGGCCCAGGGGTGGGGGCTCTAGGCAAAGAGAAGAGACACGCAGGGGCCCTCCAGCCCCACAGCCCCTTCTGGCCCTCTGAGGCATGCAGAGACATCAGAGCATCGAGGAGGAAAAGGAAGAGGGTTGTCAGGCAGAGACCACCAGGAGTAGGCCCAGGCCCTGGAGCAGTGTTCTTCCACTCGCAGGCTGTGCTTCTTTGGGCAAGCACTTACCCTCTCTGTGCTTCAGATTCCACCTCCCTGCTCTGAGAGTAGCCCTGAGCTCATGCCAGTGGAAGCCTAGTACAGCTGCAGCTGTGAGAGGAGCGGGGTGAGCAGAAGCAGCAGGAGGAGAGGAGGCCGAGGGATGCAAGGAGAGGGCAGGGCCCACATCCCTCAGTGGCTGCCGGCTGGGCCTCTCACTCTCACATGCAGACAGAGGGCCTGGAGGTGGGACAAGAGGAAGGACAGCCAGCAGTCAGCCTAAGGAGGCTGCAGAGAGGGACGCCTGAGGGTGGTGAAAGGCCTGGAGGCAGGGGGATGCGATAGTGTCTTCCCCTAGGCCCGTGTGGCCTCTGGAAGTCACTGAAGGCATGGGCCTGCCCACACGCAGGACGGCACAGACAGCCCTTCCCAACGAAGAGACCCTGAGCTCTGGGGGCAAAGCCAACTTCTGGCTGAAGGCAGTGGATTACACACACACACACACACACACAGCCCTGAGGACTAGGACTGCCTGCCCCAGGGGCACCGCCCTCTAAGCTTCCCTGTCTGGACTGTGGGCCCATGGGTTCCGGACCTGAAGCCGCCAAGGTCGTCAGCCTCCCTCCCTGGAGGGACCCCAACCGGGAGCTCTAGCCTGGGCTGCTCGGTTCCCACACAAAAAGCACCTCTCTCCCCAGGTGGGGGCCTGCTTTTGAGCTGGGCAGCCCAGGAGTACCGCAGAGCTGGGCCACAGAGAGTTCTGGATCTCAGTTTGCTCATCTGTAGCACGGGAGGCAGGCAGACCAGGGGCTAGCTCTCCGAGGCCCCTCCTGGGGCTGCCGCTGTGCTCTGAGGGTGGGTGTCAGCAGGAGGGGGAGCAGGGCAAGGAGAGGTGACCTCTCCGCTGCTGCCAGGGTGGAGGCAGGGAACCTGGCACCTCACAGGGCCCAGGATTAGGGGCCCTCCCCAGGCCTTTGTTCCCAGAGGGAGGAGGCTTCCGCAGGCCAGATCCTGGGTGGGGGATGACTTTCCATCCCCACCCGCTGAGACAACAAGCGACTCCCCCAGGGGCAGCAGGGGGAGGGGGCTGTCCCGAATCCCCCACAACCAAAAGGGCCCTCCGGCTGGCCTGGCTGGCCAAATGCAACCATCTCCCAGCGGGCTAGTGCTGAAGCATGGGGGAATGAGGCTGGACGAGGGGAAGGACTTCCTGATGGAAAGGGCTTTCTGTTGCTCCTGGGTGGAGGACGCAGCCTCCCGTCTCTCCTCTCACCCCACCCTCCGTGTAAACACGGGGCTTTCGCTTGTCAAAACGGAGGGAAGGTGGGGTAAGCAGATTCCTTCCCCCGCAACGATCCCTCTCAAACACCAGTAGGACAGAAACCCTCTTGACTTCCACCCCTACTGAACCTGTTTGTCTGCGACTGCAGCCGATTGCAGGCTTAAGGTCGGCTGCAAGTGGAACTTACCAGTCCGAGTGGGAGTCCAGCAGGGGAACGACAGCCCACAAATGCATCGTCCAACAATCCTGCGGGTGCTGTCTGCTGTGGATGTCAAACGGGACTTCCCAAGGGCATCGGAGCATCTCAGGAAAACCTGGGGCTGGGGGCAGGGCAGGGAGAGAGGAGGGCCCACCTGGCACCAAATTCAGGAGAAACAGGGAGCCCATGAAGGTCCAGAGTGGGTAGCCTCCATCAGATGGGTCTGTCTGGGAAGCTTGGCCACCAAATTGCTATGTGACCCTGGACAAGTCTCTTGACTGCTCTGGGCCCCCATCTCCTCCTCCGTAAATGAAAGGGACAGACCAGCTGATCCGAAAGGCTCCTGGCCATGATTCTGTCTCGTTCAGGCTGCGATTCTGGGAGCTGGTGCCAGCAGCGGTGGGGAGGAGGCCCAGCTACCTGCCAGTGGTCACAAGGAACATCACTGGGCTAGTTAGCACAGCATCCTCACGACAACAGCCTGCACTGTCCAGGAGCCAGGCCCCAGCCGTCCCCTCTGCCTCACTGGTGGAACTCTGTCCTGGGCCCCTGCTGGAGGGGGCGGGACGGGCGTTGGGACTGTAAGAGGGGAGCAGATGGTTCTCAGCCTGAAAGGAGAGTGGTGGGTCAGGACAGATGAGGAGGAGCAGATAAACTGAGGCCTCATCCTGTGGAAGGGGAGCTGGGAGCACTTCCGGGGAGGGACTGGGATGGTGGAGAGGAGAGAGGCTAGAGCCTGGAGAGGACAGTCAGGGTGGGGAAGAGGCAGGGGGAGCCCCAGGCTGGCTGGGCTGGACTGGCTGGAGGGAAGGCGAGGACTCAGGAGGGACCCTGACAGCCTGCCGGTGGCTGGGGCGTGAGCCGTGGGCTTTGGACGCCTCTGTAGAAGTCTGAGCGGGAGAGCGTGAAGGAGGCAGTCTGAGAGGAGCAGCTGAGCCCAGACCCCCAACCCAGTCTTTATCCTCAAGGCAGAACTGGCCCTAGCTGGAGACAGAAGCCAGCCCAGGAAGGGCAGGTGGGTCGCAGGACCCTTGGTGACCCAGCAGCAGACAGAAGGCATACATCACGGTGGTTAAAGGATTTTGAACCCTACAGCCTGGATTCCACACCTGGCTCTGCCACTTGCTAATTCTGTGACCTTAGGCAAGTTATTGACCCTCTCTGTGCCTTGTCTCCTTATCTGTAAAGCACAGCTGATAACAACCCCTCCTCGGGTGGTTGTACCCACTTAAGGAGTTACAAATGTCAAGCCTGTACGACCAGGCCTGGCACACAGGAGGGCCACACGAGCCTTTGCTGCCATTACTATCCCAAAGCACGTGCCCAGGCTCTTCTCCCAACAGCCCTCAGAGGTGGGCAGGGCAGGGATATCATCCCCAACATCTAGCTGGGGAAACTGAGGCTGGCAGAAGCTGCGAGTCCGCGGTTGTTGGCAGGATTAGCATGGAAGACCTTTCCAGGCTCTACCGCGCTGAGTTTCCCAGACAAGATGAAACCAGGCTTGTCAAGGGCGGGGATGGGGGCAGCAGACGTGCCTCTGGTACCTCACGTTCCCCGGGGTCTCCCGCCCAAGCCCCAGGCAGGCACGGAGAGCCTCTCCTTCCACGGAGAGGGTGGAAGGGCACACTTCCACCCTCGTTCCCCCTCCCCTCCTCTAGCTGGCCTGCTCCTCCCCTCGAAACCTTGGCTAACGGGCTCCACCTCTCTCTGATCTCCTCCTTATCTCACCATCTTCCTTTGAACAATCCGCCATTGGAGATGCGCTCAGCGCGCGCACTGAGGAAGGTCCCGATGGGCATGAGCAGAGCAGACGAGCTGCTTGTCCCCAGGGAGGACCTGGCGGGGGCGACCGGCCGACCCCCTGGTGGCCCGCTCACCGCAGCCCATCTGCTCCCCCAGGTGCAGGCCCTGGAGCAGCGCAACCAGCTGCTGGAGACCCGCTGGCGCTTCCTACAGGGCCAGGACTCGGCTGCCTTCGACCTGGGGCACCTCTACGAGGAGTACCAGGGCCGGCTGCAGGAGCGGCTGCGCAAAGTGAGCCAGGAGCGGGGACAGCTGGAGGCCAACCTGCTGCAGATGCTCGAGCGGGTCGAGGAGTTTCGGATCCGGTAGGCTGCGCCCCGTGGGGCCGTGGGCAGGGGTGGAGGGTGAGGCCAACCAGCGCTCAGGTGCGAGGTACGGGGACCCCTCGAGCCCGGAGAAGAGGAAACTTCTTTCAAGAACGTTTCTTTCCTCCAGACCATTATTGAAGACCTACTATGTGCCCGCTGGTATTCTAAATATTGGGAAGATACAGTAGTGAATCCACAGCTCTCCCCATATAGTGAATGCAGTGAAATGAAGTCAGTCTGGTGCTGCCTGACAGCTAAGCCTCGTGCTTGCTGGCCCCTGGGCACCATTGCAGCCCTGGCCCCTATCCCCTCCTCTCCAGCCCTTAAACACGCTTGCTCTCATCCACACATCCTACTGGCAATGGGAAACTGTCACAGCCAGAGCAACCGATGGTCGCCTGCTGTGGATGTGGCCTGAGATTTTGACCTCAGTTGGGCTGGAAAGAGAAGGGGGTGCATGCAGGCGGGGGACAGAAATGGGGGGTTTTCTTTGAGTAAAGAAGCAGTCCCCTATAGGTAAGGCCTGCCTGACCTCAGCAGCCAACTTGGGATCAGCAAGATGAGGAAAACACAGCCCCAGACTGCTAGATGCTTTCGCAGCTTAGCAGGGCAGGTGGACAGGGGGACAAGCAGCTGGCAGGCAGTACAGCCAAGTGGTTAAGGGCATTGCCTGGGAGGGGTCAACTCCTTGCCCCCACCTCTCACTAGCTTTGTGACCTCGGGCAAGTTGTTTACCATCCGAACCTGAGTTTCCTCCTGTGTGGAGTGAGAAGGGTGTGGGCTGATGCCTGGCTGTTATAAACGCCACTCTCCCATCCCCTGGAAGGCTGATGTCCCTGACACGGCACACAGCGGTCCTTGACGCAGGTTTGCTGAACTGAACTGGCCGGTCCTGAAAGGCAGACCAGGCACTTGGGTGGCTCAGGGAGAGGTGACACTCTCTGACCAGACAGTGGCCAGGGTTTCGACGACCAGGAGACTGGGTGGAGCAGAGAGTCTCTGTGCCCCCTCCTCGGGTCTGGTCTCCTTGCCAAGAGGCCCCCAGCCAGGACGAGGGGAGGACACAGTATGGCTGGACCCCTCTCCTCCTCCAGTGGCGGGCCTAGCCCCAAGCCCTGCGCTCCAAGGTGCGGCCTCAGTCTCAGGAACAGCCAGCTGGGCCTGGCTGGAGAGTGGGGGCAGCCTGTCAGGTGTCCAGTGACCTGGGCTGTGGCTCAGCTTGCCCACTACCTCTCTACGTGACCTCTCTGCTCAGGCCACACTCAGAGGAGATGGTCACACAGATGCTCTCCCTCCTCTGGCAGCCTGTTTCTTCATCTGTGGATCTGGCTGGAACTTTCCTGCCAACAGGCATGCTCTGCAGCCCTGGCCTGGGCTGGACCTTGTGGCTGGGCCCCTCCCTGGCCTGGGGGCCACCTCTCTCCCAGCCCTGCCCTCCTAGGTCCTGGGAAACACACACAAGGAGTCTGATTGCCCTTTCTGAGCTGCCCAATTGTGACATCTGACCTCTGACAGTGACAAGGTGAATGGTGTAGGTGCACCAGAATCTGTGACTCATTTCACGAGACCTTGTAGGTCTCTGGCCTTCAAAGGAGCAGAGAATGGCAGAGCTGGATGGCGGCCTCGGAGCCTACTTTTACGGGGAAGGAAACACAGGCCCAGAGAGGGCAGGGGCTTGTCCTGAGTCACACAGCCATGCTTGATAAGTCCTGTCCCCAACTTCAGCCCGCCACGGTGTGAGCCTGCTCCCTAAGCCCCGCCAGAGCACCCTACGGAGCACCCTGTAACTGGAAGTTCTGTGCAAACAGTCTTTGTTGTTTTAATCTGGCTCAGCCCCTCATTTGATCTGCTGCCTGATTTTGCTGTTTAGGCTCAGGGCATCTCTTCCCTTCCAGGGTAGGGAACCCACTGGAATCGGGGGAGGTGAGGCTGAAGGGCTTCTGGGGCTGCAGGCCGGAGCCAGGGAAGCTGCAGCCTGGCTCTGCAGAGCCTGGTGGCCCCAGGAGCCGGGAGACAGCAGGCCAAGCCCTGACAGGGAGGGGTGTGCCCTGCCTCCGCAGGGCCCATGAGATCAGCTTCACTCCTAGAAATAAACAAGTTGGGGGGTGATGAGCTGAAAAGGACTGACGGGTATGGGAGCTGGGAGCTGGGAGCTGGCAGACTGGCAGGGGTTGGGGGGTGGAAGCGGGGATGACATCACCTAAGCCTCTGGAGGGATGGAGACCTCCAAAACTCTGCTGTAACCAGCTAGCTGACCCTTCTCTTTATAAGGATGAAGCAGAGGCCCAGCGAGGGGAAGCAACTTGCCCAAGGCTACATAGCAAGTGAGTCAGGAACACTGTGTACAGTTGTGCAAGCTGTTCACTGCACAAGAGCATCTGATTGAGGGGGTGAACTGGGGCTGAAATCCAGGAGAGTGGATGAGAAGGGGCAGAGGGAAGGCTGCACAGAAGGATGGGAAGGTCACTGAGGGGTAAGGAGGAGGTCTGGCACCTCAGAGAGCCACCACTGCAGAGCTCTCACTAAGGTCCTGCCCCCAGGAAGGCAGAACTCTGCTCTCCAGAGGGGAGAGGAGAAGGCGAGAGGCTGGACCACCAGGCTTGTGTTGGGAGGGCCAGTCAATGAGGGGCTTCTTAGCTTGGGGCTCCCCAGGCCCCTGTCCCCAGGGCAGCGAAGTCCTCAGAGGCCCCCAGATCCAGTGGGAAGCCTGCTCACCTGAGCTCAGCCCTGAGGATTTGCAAAGGATTCACAGAGAACCGCTGACTCTCTCTGCAGTGAGGCTCCCCACGATTTCTCTCCAGAAATACCAGGGGCCACGGCAGAGGGGATGAGGGCCAGCGCCTGGGGGTGGAGAGAGCAGAGTTGGGCAGTAATGATAATAGCTGCAGTGGGTGCCAGGCACTGTCGTAAGCACTTCATGTATTCACTTCCTTATGACATCACTATTGTCATGACTGAGGCACATGCAAGCAGCTTCTCCAAGGTCACACGGCCAGGCAGCAAGGAGCCAGGATTTGAGCCCAGGTCGTCTAGTTCTGGAGCCCCATGCTTAACCACACCCCACACTTGCCTCCAAGCCCTTCTCTGAGCCTGCATTTCCCCATCTGTGAAATGGGACCAACAGGACCTCCCTAGCCGGAGGCTCTGAGAGTCACAGGAGAGGGTGCAGGTAAAGCTTCCTGGGCATTTTGTTCACTCTGGCAGACCCCAGATTGCAGAACAGTTTCCCTGGCCCACCCTCTGCCCCATCCCCCAACCTGCACCCTCAAAGCCCCTGGTGGACCCTCAGAAGCCACTGCAGTGGCCTGGGAGAGTGTGCGCACTGGGCACACTGAGTTTCAGAGACCCAAGTGCCCTGTGGCTCTTGCCCCGCTGGGGTCTGTTCCCTCAGCTCCTCGGGGAGGTTGGTGGAAAAGAAGGCCTGAGGGTGGCAGGTCCAACCAGCCGATGTGGGCGACGGGTGACGCTGCCCCTGCTGTGAGGTGAGGGGCTGGGGCAGGCGGGCGGCTGTAATTAGAGCCACGGGTGATTCAGGCATTCCCTGGAGAGGAGGGAAGAAAACAGGAAGCCACGGAGTCCCCGCATCGTCTGGGGCAGGCAGGGCTGAGGGCGGGACGTGTGCGGCTGGCAGACACCCACCCCTGGGCCAGGACAGAGGTCTTGTTTGGAGGGAGGGGGTAAGGTCAGGGATCCAGAGATCCTGTCCCCCCCGTGCCACAGTGTCCTTGATCCAAACACAAGGTGGACTTGAGTAAGGAGGCAAATCTGAGAAAGGAGGGTAACCACCTTTGTTGGGTACATCTGTCGTTGCATCGGCAAGGACCTTGTCAGCCCCCACGCATGCACGCACACGCACACACACAGGCACACACGCACACGCCCACCCCTGGTAGACAGGGAGCCGAGGAAGGAGGGGTGGAGCTACCTGCCAAATACACACTGTGGGTCCGTCTGACTGCAACATCCACGCATTTCTGTCCTCCCTCTGGAGGGAACATGATGGAATGTTGTCCTATGAGCTAGCAAAGCAGAGGGGAGAAGAGGGGAGCTGTGGGGCCGGTGGAGGTGGGAGAGGGGGATGCGTGAGCGGGATGCTCAGAGCAGACTCCACCAAAGCCACAGCTTGTTTGGAACTGAGACTTATGGGAGGAGATAGGAAGACAATGAGGGAGCAAAGTCAGGGTGCAAGAGCTGCACAGTCAAGAGAGGCTTCCTGGAGGAGGTGACTGTGGGCGGAGCCAGGAAGGAGGCAGATGCCACCTAGAGATGCTGATCATCAGGAAGGAACGAGAGAATGGGGCGCAGATTTGCCTGCTTCCCCAGAGCCAGCACTAGGGGGTCATGGGATCAGAGGGGATGTGTCAGAGAGGATGAGGGGCTGCACCCACCTGAAGGAGGGGCCACTCTTTTCTAATTGGCACAAGGCATCAAATGGGACAGCAGAGGCCCTGAGCCCCACCCAAGGAGGGTTAACCAAACCCCAAGCCCCACCACATCCCCACATCCAGCTGAGCAGGCACCCTCTCTCTCTCTCTCCCCTCTACCCCGCTCCTCCCAGGTATGAAGAGGAGATCTCCAAGCGCACAGACATGGAGTTCACCTTTGTCCAGCTGAAGAAGGTAGCTTGTCCTCCTGCCCCAGGGGCTCCTTCCTCATGGACCCTGCCCCCTCTTTCCCTCAGGATCCCCAAGCAACGCCCCCAGAGGCTTGAGTCCCAGGACCACAGACAGACAGAGAGACCTGTCCCCACCCTGCTCCTTCTCCCAGGCTCCGAGCCAGGTCACCCCCATCTCACCCAGGAAGCAAAGTGCCTCCTACGCCACTCCTGCCCTGGGACCCCTCCACTCGCTCTGCCCTCACTCACCCCTACTCCCATCCCCAGGACCTGGATGCGGAGTGTCTTCGACGGACCGAACTGGAGACCAAGTTAAAAGGCCTGCAGAGCTTCGTGGAGCTGATGAAAACCGTCTACGAGCAGGTGAGGAGACGGGCCAGCGTCCCACAGAGCCAAGTGCTGACTGGTCCACGGGTGAGGGACGCAGGGGAGGGAAGGGCATCGAACCGTCAGCGGTCGCTCCTGGTTCCAGCCACAGACGTAACAATTTCCTAAACCCTTAAACCTGTGCTGCTGTCAATCATCTGACACGTCCCCTCGTCACTGATGTCATGGAGCATGGGCAGGTTCCCAGGGGAACCTGTGCCTTCTTGTGTGTGGCGTGCTGAAGGCATGCAGGGGACCAGGAGCATCTGGGCAGGTGGGGAGGTGACCTCAGAGGAGGGAACGGGGGCCTTGACCAGCCGTTCCTATTGAACTGATGTCTCTCTGGTCCCTGCAGCCTCCCGCAGGCGCCCACAGTTCCAGCTCTGATAGGCATGCACTTTGACCTTCCCCGTTTGGGGCTAAGGCAGGGAAGACCTGTAGTCGGAGCCTCTGGTCCCCAGACAATACTAGCTTCTAATGGAACAAAAATGACCCAGTAGATGCAGACAGAGGAGCCTCCATGCACATTCACACTTGTCCCTAAGTCCTCAGCTGAGTCTGGGGGGACAGTGCGGCCAGCAGACGGCCCTGGGGATGACAGGGCATGGCGGCCTGTGTGCTGCAAACTGCTGGTGCCAAATGATGGCAGTGCAGCCAGGGTCAGAGCAGGCATCAGAGTCACCACTGCCATCACAAAGTTCTGCTAAAATGGCCCTAGGGGACAGCTTCATGGCCCTGTCCCGCGAGGAGGCAGCTTGGGCCTCATGGCTGCACATGGGCCACGCTCCTGCCGAGGGCTCAGCCCCCAGCAGGGCTTCCATGGGCCTGAGGCCTGTTTGTGGACATAGGAGGCAGCATGACAGAGGGAGTATCACTGCCCTTGGGCACAGCGGGGAGGCAGCCCTCCCGGGCAGACCACCCAGATCAGCCACCCGGACGGAAAAGCCGCCTGTCCCTGGCAGAGCCCTCCACAGCCAGGCCAAGCCTGTGGGCCTGACCAGGGCAGCGTGCCCACTGATTGGCTAGAAAAGTGGGCTAGGGTTCCTCTGCCCAAACCCGCTGTGGGCTGGAGCGCCCAGGCGGACAGCAGCAGGGCCAGTGTGGCAGAATCTGCGCTCCGCTCTGCTCCCCACAGCTCCGCCAGCCCGGAGCCAAGCTCTAAGGCAGGTCGGAGGCCCTGCAGGTGTGGAGACCTGATGGAGGAGGGCCGGGCATGACCAGCGATATACCTGGGCATTGCTCGAGGCACACCTGCCAAACTTCTCGGCCCCTTCCCCAATCCAGGGCTGCAGATTCCATTCAGACTTTGCAGCCCTCAGACCCCAATTCTGACTCTACCTTTTTTTACCATTTCTGTGACTTTGGGCAAGTTATTTCTCCTCTCTGTGCCTCAGTTTCCTCCTCTGTAAAATGGGGAGAGTCATAGTACCAGGCTCGTAGGGTGGTGATGAGGATTAAATCCATTCATTCATTCATTCATTCATTCATTTAATGAATGCTGACTGCGTGCCTACCCGGTCAAGCTGGGCGGGCCAGTGCCTGTTCTCGGGAGGGGACAGCTTAGCCAAGAGGGGACAGGGAACAAGCAAGTAAGTGTCTGAACAAGATCGTTTTGGAGGGTGCAAGTGCTGAGATGCAAAGAAAGCAGAGGACGCAGCAGTGCTGGATGGAACGCTTCAGGCCCCGAGGGCAGGAAGTGTCAGAGGCGGGGCCAGCACACCGAGGCCCACAATGGGAGGTCCGCCAGTGGGGAATGGAGGGGGCAGGAAGAACTCTACAAGGCACCCAGCAGGAGCACGTCTGGTGAGGAAAGGGAGAGAAAGAAGCAGCTGTGGTGAGGGCAGAGCGGGCAGGAGCCTCTGGCCCTGAGGTGGGGTTGGACCTTATTCAAAGTGTGATGAGCAGCCCTGGGGGGCCGGGGTGGGGGGGGGCGCCGTAAAGGGCAGGGGCGATGCATGCAGAGGGGGTGAAGGATGCGGCTGGTGCTGTTATAGGATCGCTGTGGAGAAGGGTTCTGCAGCGGACAGCGGGCGCTCAGCACATTAGAGCTCTTCTTACTTCTGGAGGCAGCAAGGGGGCAAGTTGGTTTGGGGATGTGAGGTTTGCATTTCTCCCCATGCACCGACTGCCATGGGCTGAGCGACATGCCATGGGTGGGCGACACTGACCCTTTGCAAAAAAGATCCCCACACCAGTGGTCTCTAAGCGAGCACAAAGATAACGTGAGCTGCATATGTAATTTTAAGTTTTCTACCAGCCACATTTTTTTTAACAAAAAAGGAAAGGAAACAGAAAAAATTAATTTTAATAATATATTTTGTTTAGCCCAATACGTCCAAAAGATGACTATTCAACATGTAATCAATATAAAACATTAATGGGCTGGTTTACATTCTTTTTCTCACACTAAGTCAAAATCTACTGTGTTTTGTACACATAGAGCTCAGTTCTGACTAGCGGCCTTTCAAGGGCTCACTGTCACATATGCTAGTGGCCACCGCAGCGGGCAGAGCAGGTGCAAGCAAAGGACGGTGCCAGCCACGGCCACCTCAGATGGAAGGAGAACAGGGCGGGGCGCGAGTGGCCCCAGCAGGGTGGACATGCCAGGTTCAGCCTTGGAACAGACACCAGATCAGGAAAGCATTGCTGGATAGTCCCACTCTGTCCCAGAAAGCAGGCCTCCCCTCTCCCTAACACATCCACAGACTCCCCACACACACACACACACACACATACACACGACACACACGCACAAGACACAGCAGGATAAGTTCTGAAGAGCCTTTCCCAGGAACCTGGGCCATGGGCTGCTCAGGGCCTCACCTCCACCCTGCAGCCTCCCGGGCAACCCGCTGCCCCCCACCTCCAGGCACACAGGCTGCTGAGAGGACCCTGAGGCGACCCAGACCCTCTCAGCTTCCAAGGTGCACTCCGGCTCCCGAGTGCGTTTGGGACCCGGCTGCATCCAGCCGGAACACCGCCTGCCCCACCCATAGACTCTGGTTCCAGGGAGATTAGCTGCGGAGTCTGCTGACAACCCCCTGCAGCCGGGCGCTCCTCCTCAGATGCCCATCCCTGAAGAGGGGACCTGGTGTGTCTAAGCCGCTTTGGCGCCCGCCTGCATGGTGCCAGGGTGGCTGCTCCAGGGACGGGCTGCTCTGGCCCTGGACGCTTCGTCCCGGCTCGGTCAGCTCCACCAGTTACATTGATGGTAGTTCACTGAGTACCTACTATGTTCTAGGCTCTGTGCTGCGTGCTTTCTCAATGTAGCCTCCTTTAATCTTCACGACAACCCTGCGAAGTAAGGATAATGGCTAAGGGAGCACAGACTTTAAGAGATTAAGGGAGCAGCTTGGATCTGAATCCTGGCTTAGTAATTACGTGAACTGGAGCAGGTTCTTTTCTCCCTCTTTGCTTCAATTTCCCTATCTGTAAAATGGGGAGAATAACAGTGCCCAGCTCACTGGCCTTTTGTGCGGATTTATTTTGTTAATGTATGAAAACACTCAGAACAGTGGGTGGCACATGGTAAGTATTAGTAAATGTCAGCTGTTGTCACTTTTATAATTATACCCATTTTACAGATGACAAAACCAGGGCTCAGATAGGTTTAAAAACTGGGCCAGGGGGGCCAGCCTAGTGGTGCAGCAGTTAAGTTTGCACGTTCCGCTTCAGCAGCTGGGGCTTCGCCGGTTCGGATCCCGGGTGCGGACATGGCACCACTTGCCAAGCCATGCTGTGGTAGGCGTCCCACATATAAAGTAGAGGAAGATACGCACGGATGTTAGCTCAGGGCCAGTCTTCCTCAGCAAAAAGAGGAGGATTGGCAGCAGATGTTAGCTCAGGGCTAATCTTCCTCAAAAAAAAAAAAAAAAACTGGGCCAGGATCACCCAGCTAATAGGAGGTGGTGGTATTAGACCAGTGCCATTAAGCATGACGTTCTATTGGGCGGCATTAAGTTACCCACTCAGTGACTGACCTGGGGACCGTGACAAGGGTGGTCACACGCAGGGCAGTCTCCTCTGCTCTGGCTCCCAGGTGCACAGCCCCTCTAGGGGCCCATCCCACGGTGGCACTGCCACACCACACAAGCCAGCATTGTTATACCCTCTGCAGCCCGCAGGGCTGACGTGTCTGAACAGGTCTGCAAGTGTTCTGAACCCTCCGTTTCCTGCTTGTTTACCACGTACACGTCAGCCTGCCTCTGTCAAGAGAGGATCTGAGCTGCTCCATCAGCCATGTCTCACCAGTCCTTTTACCCTGATGAGGAAGCCCTCGTGCAGAGCGTTCTCACGGTGTCCTGGCCCTTTCCTGGCCCGTGACAAATGCCAACTAAGGCCTGGCTTAGAAGTGCCACTGCAGGGCTTTATCTGGAACTCCCGTGCCCAGTGACCCCCACAAGATGTGGCCAAGGAACCCCCAGAGCCACGTCTCTGAGACTGTCCTCAGCCAGGCGCTGGCCAGGCTGTGGTTTCCATGTGGGCAGCATCCATCTCTGATGGTGACCGGGGGCAACAGAGGTGGGGATGAGTCTGTGGGCCCATCCACGTATTCTGGCACCAGTCAGGCCTCCTCCTGCTTTGCCCAGAGATCTCTGTTAAGTTCATTTGAAGATCAACCAAAACCCCTCCTCAAGAGACCTCTAAGGGGCAGCTAGCCCCTAGGCTCAGGGTCCTGCCGGCTCCAGGGCAGAGACAGGGTGCCCCCAGAGGGACTTCAGGATGCCCACCATTGCCTAAGCTCCTTTTCCAGGAGCTGATCCTTGTCACCAGGGGTGCTAGTGGGCGGGGCCGGTCAGCGAGCAGACAGGGGAGTGGCAGCCTTCGCCAGCAGGGCTCCAGCCACCCATGTGGCTCCAGCCGACCCACCAGACCCTCCAGTCTACGGCCACGAGAGCTGCTGGTCAGCAGGACCAGGCTGTGCAGGAACAGACTCAGAGGCTCCACCACACCGTCTCTGAGCAGAAAGACAGATGGAGGGTCAGGAGGGGGCCCAAGTCAGGGACCAAGGGCAGAATGCCATCATGAGCCAAAAACCGAATCTGGATCTGAGCAGGCCCCCAGATCCACGTGCCAGTTTTCAGGAAATGCAGGAGGCAGAGGAGCACGGTAAATGCCAGCACACGATGCAGTCAGTCTAATCCGGGCTGTGGGGACGCCACAAGGCGAGCAACCTGGTGTTTTCAATAAGGAAAAAAAAATAAAGATGGGGCGGGGGTGGTATCTATAAAGTAAGAGAGACTTGGAGACACATGGACCAAGTGCAATGTACGGACCTTGTTTGGATCCTGATTCAAACAAGAAAAATATATATACACACACACCCATGAGGCAGTCAGAAAAATGGGAACACTAACCAAAATTTGAAGACTGAAGCTAGGGTCAAGGGTGGCCTGTGAATGCCAGTAGGAGTAACCGCCATCTGTGCCTCGCCTCCCCCAGGCAAGCCCCACCCACACCTCCCTGGGCGCCTGCCCCCCACCTCTCCAAGGCTCCTCTGCCTGACTCTGTACAACGCTGACCCTGGGACCTCTGCCTCGCCCCCTTGCTCCTCCTGCTCACACTGCCCCACCAGGCCCAGGTTGCTGTTCAGCACTTGCAGGGGAAGCTGCCCAGGGCTTGAGAGGTGACACTTTGTGGCCGCTTATGAAGACCCCCATCCCCACCTGCCTCTGCACACCACCGAGCATTCAGGCCAGAAAGCTGCCGGGCCACAGGTGTGATAAGAGGCCAGGCAGAGGCTTCAGCTCCTGTCTCCGCCCCTGGAAGGGAGCTTTACCGGAGCAGCCAAGGGCTCTGAGTCCGGCTCTGCACTCATGGCTGTTTCCCTAACTTCTCTGTGCTCAGTTCCCTTCCTCTCTGTAATCCGGGCTAACACTGCACCACGGAGATGTGAGGATGCCCGGGGAGCACTGAGCACACAGGCTGGCCTGCAATGAGCCCCCAGGGAAATGGGAGGTTTGCCACTTCCAGGGGTCTCTGAGGACATGGATTTGCATTTTCTAAGCAGAGAAGAGGAGAGAGAGTAGGGTAAAAGGAGGGATCTTAAAGGACAGGGAGAAGATGAAAACACTGAGACGAAATCCTGTTGCTGTTGCCAGCAAGCCCCTCAGCTAGTTGGGGAGGGGGCGGGAGCCGTGAGTCTCCTGGGTGACCCTGAGGTCGCCACAGCCTCTGGCGGGAGTGGGGAGTGCAGCCTGTCGGCCCCCAGCCCCACTCCAGCCCCTCATCATTCATGGGCTTGCATTCCAACATCTATTCAACAAACCCAGATGCTCCCTTGCGAGATGTGGGGGCTGAGATGAACATGTCTGCGCCAGGCCCTCAGGGAGCCCCCGGCCAGTGGAGGAGGCTGAGGCGCACACCACTGAGCCACAGTGTGAGGAACGATGAGCAGAGGGGCCAGACTCCCTGAGGCCCCAGACACCCTGGGCGTTTTCCCCATCAGCCAGGGCTGGGCAACAGTGTAGACAGAGGGGAAACTGCAAAGGAATCAGGCTTGCAGGGTGAGCCTCTGGAGCCGGGAGTCCCTCACTGCCCCTCCGCTCAGAAGGGGAGGCCAACCAAGGGTAGGAGCTGCTTCCCAGGAGTCAGAGCAGGGAGGCATCTGACCATCGCTCCATGGGGACAGGGAGTAGCCTGCTGTCTGCTCGCCCCGGGGACTGTGCGTGGCTGCGGGTCCTGGTGGCCCCCCACCAGACCTGAGCCCCCCACCTCTGTGCCCGGCCAGGAGCTGAAGGACCTGGCAGCCCAAGTGAAGGATGTGTCGGTGACCGTGGGCATGGACAGCCGCTGCCACATCGACCTGAGTGGTATCGTGGAGGAGGTGAAGGTCCAGTACGACGCCATCGCGGCCCGCAGCCTGGAGGAGGCCGAGGCGTACTCCCGGAGCCAGGTTCGGGCAGACTGCGCAGGGCGGAGAGGCAGCCAGGACAGGAGGGGCCGCGCTAGTGATGGCTGCAGTCACCTGCAGCTCGTGGGCTGAGACTCTGAGAGGGGATGTGGAAGCACAGGGGGGCCGAGACCACGGCGGAGGGTTTGCAGGCAGGGACAGAGAATGTGAGAGCCCAGCAGTGTGCCAGCTGAGGGGTGGCGGGGGCGGGGAAAGCTCACAGTCTGTGCCTTCCAGAAGCTCACATGGTACTGCCACCCAGCAACACCAGGCCAGGTGCGGGCTCAGTCTAGGGCAGCCAGGAGGAAGCCATCCAGAGACACGTGGTGGGGGCAGGAGAGGGGCACTGAGGGGGAGGCTGGCCTGGGGGTGGTGGGCAGCAGAGGAGAGGGAGCTGGGGGATGAGAGGGACACAGGGAGCCGCGCCTCACTGCCACCTCGTCCACTCCCTCCAGCTGGAGGAGCGGGCCGCCTGCTCTGCCGAGTATGCCAACAGCCTCCAGAGCAGCCGTAGCGAGATCGCTGACCTCAATGTGCACATCCAGAAGCTTCGATCCCAGATCCTCTCCATCAAGAGCCACGTGAGTGTCTGGAGGACCACCTGGGGGTGGAGCAGGGCGGAGCACCGGGACGCACACTCTTACACACACACTCACCCATGCTGAGCACATGCAAGACCTGACCCAGTGACCCTGGGCAGGTCACTTAGCATCTCTGTGCCTCAGTTTCCTCACCTGTCCTCCTGAGATGGCTATGGGGATTACATGAGCTCTGCGTGTAAACATGCTCTATACACTGCCATGTTAGGGAGCCCCCCACCACACACACCCAGAGCCCACGGCCTCCCTCCCAGGCCTCCAGCCAACCGCACGGAGAGAAGGGAGTGGAGGCCTAAGCCCCAGCTTCCAGCCAGGATGAGCCTTCTGAGCAGGTGCTGCCCTGTGGGGACAGCTGTGACCAGCTCCTGTGCAGGCTTGTGGTACCTCCCTCTTTGGTGGCCTTTGGAAATTGTCACCTTAGGTCTAACTAAACTCCTCTTGCTGCAATGCCACCCATTACCACACCCAGGAGGGCCGCTGCTTAGCCCTCCCTCCCCACACACACCCCACCAACGACAGAGGTGAGTCCTGGCCTGCTCTCTCCCTCCCACCCCTGCTCACGGGCCCCTTCCTCTGCCCTCCTGGCTACAGTGCCTGAGCCTGGAGGAGAACATCAAGGCAGCTGAGGAGCAGGGCGAGCTGGCCTTCCAGGATGCCAAGGCCAAGCTGGCCCAGCTGGAGGAGGCCCTGCAGCAGGCCAAGAAGGACATGGCTCGGCAGCTGCGCGAGTACCAGGAGCTCATGAACACCAAGCTGGCCCTGGACATCGAGATCGCCACCTACCGCAAGCTGGTGGAGGGCGAGGAGAGCCGGTGAGGGGGCGGGGCCAGCAGGGTGGGGCTGGGGGAGAAGGAGGAATGGAGGACCAGCCCACACAAAGTCAGCCTTCCTCTCCAGCATGATGCTGTGAACCCTGGGTTCATGTCCTGGCTCAGCCTCTTACAAGCTGGGACCTTGGCCTCTTGCAAACTGGACTCAAGGCTCTTACAAACTGAGCCTTGAGTGCTCAGTAAATGTTAGCCATTTACGCAGGAGAGATGGGACAGAGGCCCAGAGAGGACAAGCTGGCTAGCCAGGGTCACACAGCAGGGCAGCCCAGGGCTGGGAGTGACAATCAAGAGCTGCCCTGCACCGGCCAGTCCCCAGGCCCCCAATCCCAGGGGAGCTTAAGCCGCAGGCTCCCTTCACATCCTACCATGTCTTGCCTCCCCAGGATGGACCTGCCTTCAGCCGCCATGGTCAGCACCGTGCAGTCCAGATCGAGAACCGGTGAGTCTCCTTGCCCCAAGCGCCCACGGCGGGGCGGGGGACGGGGTGCGGGGATCAGGACCCTAAAGGCATCATTTTAAGTGGCTCAAACCTCCAGCCCCTTCCCTGCCCCACCCCTTGTTTCCCCTGTAGCTGCCTCCAAGTCCCGCCTCTCGAGCGCCCCCTCCCGGAAAAAGCAGCACAGCAAAGGCGCCGTGATCCAAATCACCGAAATGTTGGAGAAGTTCCTCTCACAAGAGTCCGAGGCCTCAGAGTAAGGCAGCTGGACCAGGAGCCCCAGGTGCCTCCGCTGCAGCAAGAGGGACGCTCGCCGGACTCAAGAAAGCAGTTTTCAGCCTCTAGGTTGGGAGGGGAGGCACACCTGACCCTGAACTGAGAGGAGGAGTGTTCAAAGGGTGACTGCTGTTTTGTGGGTTGCCAGGGATGGGACAGGACTGTCACCAGCTATTCGGAGCCACTCCGCTCCATACCAATATCTCACAGTCCCACTCTTCCCACCTTCTGGCCAGAGGTTTTCCCCACTGGGTAAACTGGAACTGGGGGTCCGTTTCATCTCCACCTCCCCGATCCTCTGAGGCTCCTCCCCCAACAGAGGGCTCCCACCAAGGTCCCTTTGACCCTTTGCCCAACCCTTGCCTAAACTCATATCTCAAGCCTTGCCTTGCCTCTGCCCCGGGACTGAGGCTGGTGCCTTCGCTCACCCAGCCCCGGCCAGCCGTGGACCAGTGGCTGATGGGGACCGCTTGGGCACCCTCCCTGTATCTGGAGTTCCTGGGGAGGCTGGGTGCAGAGTGCCCCTGTCTTTCCTGACCACCTGGGCTCCCCAGAGACCTGACAGTATTAGGGAGTGAGGGGGAGCCTCCCTGGGTGTTTGGAACCTGAGCCTGGACCTTTGAGATCAGCCCAGACACCTGTGTCCCTTCCCTCTCCTGTGGGTCCCTCCCAGCAGGTCACAGTCAGAATTGGCCAGGCTTCCCGGCCAGCTCCCAGCACCTTCTCCAGAAGCTATTCTTGCCATGATGAACTCCCTGGGGGGAAGGCCGGATGGCAGCCTGAGACCAGGCTGGAGAATCAGACCCTCCCTTCTCCTCCCTGCCATCCTGGGGTTCACCACCCTCCTTGAGATCTGAGCTCTGCACCCCCGCCCAGGTGTTTCCCAGCTTGAAACCTGGCTTTGGCACACCAGGCCCTGAAGACCCTAGCCCACTCCACCCCCACCATGAAACCCAGGCCCACTTCCCATGAATCCCACGTCTCAGGGCCTCTGTTCTCTCCATAAGGCCACACAGCCTGGCCCTCCCCTCCTTTGCGTCACTGCGGAGCCCAGGAACACCTCACACCTGCTGGTTAGAGCTCCTTCTTGTCTTCCCCCTCCGCCTCTCCTCCCTCCATGCCCACTCCCCTGCCCAGGCAGGGCCATGAAGAAGGCACGGTCCAGGCGGATCTGGGAGCTTCTGAGCCCTTGAGATCAGGCTGGGGAGCCCCTGACAACCAAAGAGAAATTCTGCATCCAACACAAAGATGTGGGGCTCAGAGGAGGGCTCCCGTTTCCTCCTCTTGGCTCTCGCCTTTGGGGCAGCTCCAGCCTCCCCATCCACAAGCCGCTTTCTCTCCTTCCCTCTCTTCTCCCTACCTGCCCCTTGCCTCACCTCCTCTTCTAGCCCGTCTTCCATTCATTCATCTCATTTTCCAGGACTTGGTGGCCCCAGGCCTTGGCCCCTCCTAGGCTCAAGGTCCTTCAGGCCTGTGGGGGGCGCTGAAGGGCCACTGACTCAGAGGGGAGGGACTCAGACATGTACACATCCATGGAGTCCCCAAAGGGTACTGCTGCTGCTTTTTCTCTGCCTATTTATTGGTTTCCAAGGGGGCAAATCCTCAGTGGGGATACAAGATATAGAAAGTATATATATTATTTTTTCATAACTTATGTGGCTTTTAACTTATTGCTTCCCTTCCTGTTTCTGCAAAATCAGTGCTGTATATTCTACTATCTGGATAGACAACACATGCCCCAGCTACCCCACCCAACCGGCTGACGATCTTGGGGCAATGCACCCTTCTCCCTGCCAAGGGACCAATAAAGTGCTGAGATTTGTCCATGGATAAAGCCGCGTGTCTGTTTTTGTCTCCCCTGCAAGGACTGGTCAGTCACTGGTCAGACAGGTCGACCACAGGACTTGGGGAATTCTCCAATGATGGGGAATGGGGTCCAGGGACCTAGTTATACCTTCAGACCAATGCAACGTGACACGAAATGGTCTCCTGCCCCACCATCCTACAAGGAGACTGCACCAGTGTTGACCGCCCTTCCCAGGCACCACATGGCCACCTTAGCAAGCACAGACGCGAGGGCTCCCCCAAGTGGTGGTGGGCTCCTTCTCAGGCACTTCTGCCCAACCCATCATGGGGGTTGGCACAGCCCAGACTGTATTTTAATAGGTACAGGCCCGATCCTGCCAAATCAAATGCTAGATCAACAGACAAGGATCGAGGACCTTCAACAAGCCCAGCTCTACGCAAACATCTAGACTGGTCCCCACTCCTCAACCTCCAGAAGCTCCCGGTTGGGTTGAGAGATGAGCTGTTGACTGAAAAAAGCCATCCTGGACTTCCTAGCCAAGTGAAGAAGGTCAGAGAAAGAAGACGCTTGTGCAGGGAAGCCAGGAATGGAACAGGCTGCTCAGAGGAGGTGGGGCTTTAAGGGAGCAGGGAGAAGCCAGATGGACTGACGGGGGAACAGGTGTCTCTGGACAGGTATCCTGCAGGCGAAGAGGGGACTTTGCAGCATTTGTGTCCTGGCTCACCCACTCCCCGGCAAGGAGACAAGGACTCCTCCGACAACAGAGCCTCAGTTTCCTTGTCTGTACAATGGAGCATTCACCCTCCCGACTGACCTAATAGGGCATTTGGGGATCTGGTGAGGGAACTGGGTTCATTCCTATCAGGAATCCCACACCTCTTGCTTCAGGCACTCTGAAATGCGACAGCTCCACAAGCATAAAGGGTTATTAGTGAGGACGCTATTGTTATCACAGTCCACGGTATGGATCAAAGACAACCCACCAGCTAGGAGACCAAATACAGACAACAGGCCTCAGGCTGGCTCTAGGGCACAGCACAGCCAGGCCCCTGGGCTGGAGGTCCGGAGACTTCCATGCAGAGTTCCTCCATTCTCCTGAAGCTCCTGAGGGATGAGCTCTCTCTCAAAACTCAGGAGAAACTGATGGATAAACCACAATCCCCTCCAGGAGGCACCCGGAGCGGAGACCAGCGCTCTACTTACTTTATCTTTGTTTTCTATTCTCTTAATGTCAGAATTATGAATTTCTGACCACCATTTTGAATTTCTAAACCTGCATATAAATGGTATAATCAAAAAATGTATAACATATTATTTCCTTCCTTCTACTTTCTTTAAACTTACTACTTTTATCATTTTCCAACTTCTTGAGTTGAATACTTTAATTTTCCATCTTTCTTCTTTTTCAATAGGAGATTCTCGGAAAATCATAAATTTCCTTTCAGGTACCATTTTGACTGCTTCCTATCGTTTTCACATGTAGCATTTTTATTAGTGCTCAGTTAAAATGATTTTATTCTTTGACTCATAAGTTCTTTAGAAACTTCCCCCTACACGGAGAACTCATTTCCCAAACACTCACTGAGCCCATGCTCACCCTGAGCCTGGCCCTGCCCTGGATGCTCGGGGCGATGGTACGTTCCTCCAACATCTATCTCCGGACCCTGGACGCCCTCATCCTCCACGTTCACATGCTTTGTTGCCTGCTTTGGTGCCTTTTATCCCCAGAAGACCCTGAGCTCCCCAGGGGACAGGGATGGCATCCCATTACATCCCCGGGCCTGGCCCAGCCCTGGCCCATAGTAGGTTTTCAATAAATGTAAAATTAATGAAAGAATAAATGACTGAGGTGCTTCCCCAACCGAGGTCCCCCAGCCTAAACGTCCCAGGAAGGTGAGACACATCTCCTTGACCTTCTTATGCCCAGGGCTAATGCAATGCCCGGCACCTTGAAGGAGCACAGTTAGCATAGAATGAATGAATGAATGAATGAATGAATGAATGAATGAAAGCAATGATTTCCCTACCCAAACAAGGAAACTCTCCTGCCCCTTTCCTGCTGGCAGATACTGAACAGCTCTCTGAGAGGCCTGGAGTCCAATTCCCCCTCCTTGTGCAAGCTCCCTCTTTCCTCCTCCTTCCCACTCCTGCCTTCGGAGTGATCCAGTGAACGCCGGGGGCCGAGGGGACCGCCCCTGCTCTGAGTACAACAGCAACAATCGGCTCCTTACTTGGGTTTGACCCTTTCTTCTCCCTGAGCTCCGCTCCTCCTAACCACCTGTGAGACAGGCAGGACAGGTATCATTAGCGGAGGCCCAGAAAGGCCAAGCATTGCACCTTCAGTCACCCAGCAGGTTAAGAGGAAGCATTTTGGTTCCATGGAACCATTTTTTACCTGCAGACTGCCTGCCATAGGGGCACTAAAAATGACCAACCCAGGAGTTGATGAAGTGGCACTGAAGGCCAGCACCTTCAAACACAAAGGGCGGTGGGGTTGAACAGGCATCCAACAGCTGGCACCTAGCCTGAGCCCCCGACTCAGCATGGAAAAGATCAGGGCTCAGAGGGGTTGGGCCAGGACAGGCAGGTCAGCGCCCTGGTGGCTCCAGAGAAACTTCATCTACTGGGGCCCAGAACCACAGCCCAAGGCAGGCCATGTGAGCTGGGGGTGGACTGCACCACCTCTCTTCCCGCTCCTTCTCCTGGTCCATTTAGGCCTGAGGAAAAACATCTGGAAGAGAGGCAGTTCCTGTGTTTGGGAAGTTCCAGACGCTGATGTGGGGTGGTGGGGCGGACCCACACCAAAACAGAGATACGTGAGCAGAGCTCAAGACCTCAGCACTGGGGCCTGCAGAGCAGATGGGGGATGTTATCAAAGAGGGCTTCCTGGAGGAGGGGTGAGAGGCAGCTTAGAAGGAGGGGGTGTTACGGTTGGCAAAGCAGAAGGCAGTGGAAATGGCCTAGGGGACGGGAGTGGAGCAGATTCGTTGAGGCTGCAGCCTGGGCAGAGAGCAGGCTGAAGGTTACCAGAGGCCAGCAGCGGAAGCCTGAGTTGAGAATGAGGAAAACTATGGGAGGATGTGTCATAAGGCCGGGTAATGCCTGACACTCCCACCAGGAGATAAGCCAACTGTGTGCGGGGACTGAGTCTTACCCAACTGCGCATCCCCACGTCCAGCAGGGTGCCAACACCCAGTCGCTACTCAGTAAATGCCGGACAAATGAATGAAGGTAAGATGGGCAGGTGACTGCAGCTCCTGAGGGATGAAGAGGCACCCATCGCAGAGGACTTTTCGAGGACCTACTGTGTGCTGCTCCCTACAGGGGAGCACAGTGGGGAGCGGGGAGGGAATAAAGGGCCCTTGCTCTCAAGGGGCTTCTGGCCAGGATCCGACTCGTGGTCCCCTGTCATGCTGAAGTCCCCTCTGTGTGGCCGGCAGCGTGCTCCCTGGGGGACCTTGGGCAAGGCTGCCCCTCATGTGGAGCTGTTTCTTCTTCTGGAAAATAAAGGAGGCAGATGAGTGGCCTGCAGACCCCTGCTACGTCAACACCTTGCCAGCCTGCTCATCGCCTCCCCTGTCACTCAGCCCCCTGGGCAAGGCGCCCTCCCAGGCCGCAGTCAGAGTAACTGAGACTGTGGCCCGTAGAGCAAATCCGGGTTCCAGCTGTGTGGTCTTGGGCAACCTCGGGACAGAGGACCTGCCTCCTGGATGTGTTGAGAAGCTCTAAAGAGATGGTGCACCATAAAAGAATTCAGCACAGTGCCTGGCACATGCTAAGTGCTTAAAATAACAATAATAGCAAACACGCTAATTGTGCCAGCCTTTCCCCTGATCCGGAGTAGAACTGGAACCCGCCCCCACCGGGCCCAGGTGGCCTGGCCAGGAGTGTTTAGGCGAGGGTCCACACCATCTGCCCAGCCTCACCTGCTGAGGTTAGGGCTCACAGACCTGTTGGGGGGGCGGCTGAGGATTAGAGAGGGTAAGGGAAGTGGCCCAGCCCCCGGGCCCCTGCGGGAGCGGACCGCTCACATCCATTAAGGAAGGTCAATGCCAGGCCCGCGGCGTCACCGCAGCAACCACTGCCCTCTGCCGGCCGCGGCGGGACCCGCACTTCTCTCCCCGGAGTAGGAGGCGAGGAGGGAAGAGGAGAGAGGGGGGAGGCGGGGAGGGAGGAGGCGGGGCTGTGTTTCCAAGCGCTAAACGTCCAACTCGGATCCCCACGCGCTTTGCTCCGATCTCAGGCCTAAGCACTCGGAGGCTCCCTGGGCTGAGCCATCTCCCCTCCCGCTCAGGGGCAGGCTCAGCACCTTTGGCTCAGAGGGTGGCTACAGCCCTCAGGCGCCAGAGACCCTGACCCCACCTGGAATACTCACCACCACCCCCAGATCTGGCTCCTCATTTGTCAGCTCAAATGTCACCTCCTCAGAGGGACCTGCCCACCTAAAATAGTCCCCTACTACTTCCACACTACTTTGCATTTCCTGCTTCGCTATCTGGTGTTCTTCCTAGCACTTAGCCCAACCTGCTTTGTCTCGAGTTTTCCTTCTCTAGTGTGCCAGTTGGGATCCAGTCAGGAAAGGAGGAATGAGGCTGGGTACTTCAAACTGGGGAGTCAGTGCCAGGAGCTGAGAGCGCCAGCATGGAGAGCATGGAGAACAAGGGAAAACGGAGGCGCTCTAGAGGTCAGCAAACCCAGGAGGCAATACCACCCCAGGGCTGAAGCAGGTGGCCTTGGACCCAGGAACTCAAGTGAGGGCCCCAGGGGCCGGTTCTTGGACATGGGGGCAGAGGCACTGGACAGAGTAAAATGTTTTCCTTCAACTGGGAACAGTTTGGACTTAAAACTGGGTGATGGTTCTGATGAGGTGGCCAAGGCCTGTGTGAGATTCCAGAAGGTGGACTGCCCCAGGCCAAGAACGTGTAACACCTGCAGATCACCTGCTGGAACCCCTGTTCAGAAACAACCAACATCTGCCCTGAAATAAACAAGAGGTCAAACGTCAGCCTAAAAAGCTTCCA